ATGATGCCTCCAGCACCAAGGACGCCGGAGATTGCTGGTCAGCCCCCAAGCTGGGCAGGCCCGGGGACAGGCCCTCCCTCTCCACCTCTGACAGGCACTCATTGGTGATCCTGGCTGAGAGCTGCAGGGGTGGAGGGGGGGATGTCTGCTGGGATTGAACCAGGGGGCTCAGGAGCCACACGTTCAGCCCTGGCTGCTGGCTGTTACACTGCAGGCCGTTGGGCACGCCTGCTGATGGAATTAGAAGAAACCAATAGTGCCTGCCATCTGAGGGCAGTTCCCTGACGGTCACCTGGCATCCTACAGCTCGACTCTGACAGACAATAACCAACCAGAGTTAGTGCAGACCCCGTAGGTGAAGCGGCCAGTCCAATCAAAACTGCCCCCACATCAGACACCAGAAGGAAGTGGGGTCCCCAGCCCATCCCCACCTCTGACTTGGCTATAAACTCAGGGGTCTCATAACCTCCCTTGAGGTTTGGGGATTTGCAAGAATGACTCCCAGAACTCTGGAGAGCGCTATACGTAAGCTTACGGTTTTATCATAAAGGGCACGACTCAGCCAAATGGAAGAGATAAGAAGGGTGAGCTCTGGAAGGGTCCAGAGCACCCAGGCCTCTGTCCCTGTAGAGTTGGGGTGCCCCTCCCTCCCGGGGCACCAAGAAGCCCCCCACCCAGGGAGCTCCCCTGGCCCCATTGTCTGGAGTTTTTACTGGTGTCAGTATGTAGGCTGGAAGGATTGAATCTCCGGCCGTGTGACCGAACTCAAGCTCATCCCCTCCCTTCCTGAGGGCTCCTGCCCTCTGACCATGCGGTCGTTTTCCGGTGGGCCAGGCCCTCCCCGGAAACTAGGGACCCCCTGAGCTTAGGAGGGGCCAAAAGAGGCTCCTGTACAAGGACACCCCTGTCGCTTGGGAAATTCACAGAGGAAGCAAGGACAGAGGCCAGACACAGCCTTTGTTATCCCACGGGTCACTCCTGCCAGCACACCGCCTGGCTAGCCGGCCCTGACAGCAGGCGGTGTGGCCCCGAGGGGCCACTGGTTGCAGACAATGGCGGTAAAGCAGAAATGCCAGGGAAGCCCACCCGAGGGCAGGGAGGGAGCGAGAGGGGGTCTAAACAAACCAGAGTCACTCAGCAGCCCCTTTGAGAGGGGTGCCGCCGGCCGGCCCACGGTGGGGACCCAGGTGGTGGCCGTGGCTAATGAAGACGCAAGTGCTGCAGGAGGCTGACCAGGACAGTGTCCCCAGCAGGGTGGGGCTGGGGGCTGGCAGGAGGCGACTGCCTTTGGCTCTTCCTGATGAAGGGTTTAAGAGCAAGTCGGATGAAGATGCAGGAGGCCTGCTTATCAGATTTCTAGGAACTGCAAAGTTGGGAGAGCTAATGAGTCAATGGCAGAATCAAGATGTTTGAATATTTCAACAGGACTAAATGAACAGGATCACACTCACATCCCAGGTTGGCCGTCCTTGAGGCATTTCAAGACCGTCTCATCCAAACCACGTGTTTTACCAAAACCAGGTCCAGAGAGCTTCCATAATTTGCCCAAGATTTTGCAGCAAGCTGTCCCCAAGGGGGCTCAGAAGCACATTGAGCTCCACATAGCCACGTGTGGTTTCTTCTCTGGAACCAGGCGCTCGCTCAGACCCCAGCGTCTCTTCACAGGAGATGGACTCACTCATCACAGCCTGAGTCAGCCCTTGCCTCTTCCCCTCTCGTGCTCTGCGTTGGAGCAGTGGTTACAGAGAATGTCTTCTACTTCTGTGCAGCCTCTCAACTGACAGTGCTGGTGGGGCGGAGAGGGAAGAAGGGGGAGGGAGGAGGCATGTGGGGGTTAGGGACGGGAGAAGGAGGAGCAGGGGAAGGGGCATGGGAGGAGGGCTGGTGGAGAGGAAGGGGAGAGGGCGGGGGAGGGAGGGATATAGGAAAGGAGTGGGGCGGGCAGGGAGGAGGGAGGCCTCGGAAGTGCTGAGAAACACACCCCCTCGTAAGCACCTGCCATGAAAACGGTGCGCTGTTCTGAATCTCTGCATCTCTCCACAGGAGGATTCGGGAGGTAGGGAGAAGCGTCTGTGCTTCTGAGAGGTGACCTGTGGGGGCAGGGCAGAGTCCGGTGCCCCGAGTTCCCTCGGCCTCAGATAAACGTTTGGCATCCAAAAAGGAAACTAGCAACCAGTCGTGCTATGTCTAGAATCCGTTTGCACTAAGTGTGAGTCTAGTGAATTTTACCAAATTATCTGCTGTCCAGTGCACATGGGCAGAATCAGAAAACCCCGTGCTTGACCTCGCACCCCGGGGCAGACCCACGTGTGCACCTGCTCACGCGCCATTCCCGGTTCAGCTGGACAAGCTCAGGAGTCGTCAGAGGGCTGAGGCGAGGGGCAGAATGGGGGAAAACAGCCCTTCTGTCCCAGGTAGGGGGTGGCCACCATAATGTCTCCCCAAGGATGGGAGACGGGAGCGAGGGAGCATGCTGTCCCCCAGAGTGAAGGGATCCCAGCGCCGTGGCCCAGACTTGGGGACCCCCGCTCTGGGGGACAGGCTGGACAAGACCAAGCCCCTTTCAACTTACTCACTTGACCCGAAAAATTTCCCCAAGCAGGTGCCAACCTGTCGAGGCGTCTGCCATGGGGTAAAACTGCTTCCAGATGAGAGGCACCCCACACAGCTGGCAAGACTTGTGGGTACCAGTGACTCTGCCCTTGGGGATGCTGCCTCTCATCCTTGGTAGTTTGGGCTTGAGCTAGTTTTATTAAAAGTATTAGAATTTGCTTTTTGTTAAAGATACCAAACTCATTCAGCCATAAGAATGTCAAAAATATATTTAGCAAGTTTACATTTACTTTTGACCAATTCTAACTGAACTGAGAGCTTCACATTCTGGAAGGCATCCAGCAGCTCTGAACAAAATACTGTGTTGAATGAGCTATAATACGTGATCATCGCTGAGCTTGTAACGTTCCTATTAATCTTGTTTCAAGTTCCAACAATATAGGTCTTGTTTCCATACTTCTATTTTTAACTAATGAAAATTTATTACAAAGAAATCCTAATTACACACTCTGGAATAGGATACAATTGCAAATCCACTGGTGATTTTCTTTTTTTTGTGAAAATCCACATAATCACATAAGAAGCAAAGAATGTAAGTTCTCCTGAAATAGTTGGCCTATAAATAAGATTTCCTAATGGGCTGAGCAAACGTCTTTGTTGTTGTTGTTTTTTCCTTTGTGCATTTTATAGTAGGTTGGGTTAATCCATACTCTACCCCTGGTGAGTGTTAGAGAACACTGTGTATTCTCAGCACGTCCTAAAGTTGGTAACTGATGGATTTCCACGGTGTCCTGGATGGAGAGTGATGGGAAACGCGGGCATCAGGGGGCAGGGTCTGGCTTGGTTGAGTGATGGTATGACCTTGAACGGGCCTCCTCCTGCTCTCCCCAAACGCACGGATTGGGCAGACTTGCCAGATAATCCTGTGTGGGCGTCCATGATGCAGCACCAGAGCAGCATCTCTGGTCTCTGCATCTCCATGTGCCAATAGCCACCAGATGTCCCCCGGGAGCACGAGCACCCTGGGCGAGGGCACGGTTCTGCACCTGTGTCAGGAAGCCCGGGTGGGTGTGGCATGAGTGCTTTCACCCACTAATTCCCAGGGTGAGGCTGGTTTTGCAAAGAAATGGGGGCATGCCATGCTCTTTAGGTGCATGTTCTTTGCTCTTTCTACATCCCCTAGCAGGCATGCAGGGGGCACCGAGTCACGGTGCTTGGCAGGGGGAGTTGGCAGCCTAACTTGACCACAGTGCCATCAGAAAGGGAAGGTTCCCTAAAACTGCCGGTCTGAGGACAGAGTAGATTTTCCCCCCTCGTTGCTGGAGTCGCTGGCCATGGGACCCGACTATGGGGAAGAATGGGGCAGCGCTGGGCCAGGGGGAGGCCCCACAGAGGGATCCATGGGGTCACATCAAGCTGCTCTCTGGCCAGTGTAGGTGGACTGTGTGCCTCAGGGCTAAGCACAGCCTGCGACGAGGGGACCGGAGCGGCGGCTGGACGGGCTTGCTCCCACGCGGGCCAGGTCAGGGAGGGGGAGGGTGTCATGTGAGCACCTGTGTCTGCAGGTGGCTGAACTTCTTCCAGCAGCAAACACTGAGATGGTTTAGAAGGAGGGCCCCCAGTGCTGCTGGGATAAGGTGCAGAACAAAGAGAGAGCTATCGAATGGGCGGCAGAGGACAAAAGGCAGGATGCTGAGCTGGTGCTCAGTAAGAGCCGGCTCCTTTCTTCCCCCGAGCCGCCAGCCTGCTGAAGGTGGCGCGTTGGATCCCCACTGCCCCGCTGGGCCCTGGCTCCTGCCTGCTCCCGATGCAGCCTGCTGTGTGGGCCGTAGCTGCGGCCACCCCTGGGCCGGGGGGAGGGAAGGGTCCAGAGGTCCTGCACCTTTCCCTGCACAGATTGCCTGGGGTGGGGTCTGGGTCCCCGCTGCTGTCACTGACATCTCCCTGTCGGGTTAGACCCCAGGACAGTGTTTCTGTACCTGGAGTGTTGATCGCACACTCCCTGGTAATTGTCTTCCTGCGTTTGTCCAAAACGAAGGCCTCGCTAAAACAAAACAGAACAACAGAAACAGAACAGGATGCAAGCCCTGATGATTTGCTCCAGTGGAAAGGCTCACCCCTTTATGTCCTCTGACACCAGGTCTAGGGGGTGTGACGGCAACTCTGGGCCTTCCCGGGGGCCCGACTCGGCCCGCATGTGCACCCACCATGACCTTCGCTCCCGGCTGGTGCCCGTTGGGTCAGGGCTTCAGTCTCGGCTGCACCCCGAACACAACAAAGCAGTCCGCACCCAAGAGCAAAACCGCGTCCTTTGTGGGGCTACCGGCGCCTGGCTCTCCCAGGTTCTCGGAGTGCTTGCCTCTCTGCAGGTGTTACCTGGAGGCTGTCAGAGGTGGCAGGTGGGCCTCCAGGGGCACGTTTAACTCTCTGTGTCTTGTGCCTTGCAGGACGGAAGGCCATGTGAGTCCTGGGCCGGAGGAGGCAGAAGGACAGGACAATGGTACCAGGCCGCCGCCGCCCCAGATCCTCCTGCCGCTGGAGGAGCGGGCGACCCACTTCCGAGACATGCTGCTGGAGCGAGGGGTAAGGACCCGAACGCAGATGACGGCTGTCCCCAAAGCCAGTCACTGAGTAATGGGCCCCCCACAGCCCGAGGGACACTTCCCTTCCTCCCTGAGTTCATGGAATCAGGCTGAGTGAAATTCGGGTGCCAAATCATTTGAGGCCGAAGCAACATGAAAAGAGCCCCTGCTGCTTGTCTTGAAGGGTGTGGAGGAGTCGCCAGCCCCTTCCTGCACCTGCATCTGCAGGCCCCTGAGAGACAGACAGGAGGGGACGGTCACTGGCACTGCGTGCAGAAAGCCTCTGCGTTGATGAGCTTCCTGCTGGAGCCTGGGCAGCTTTGGGGGCCCACACCTCCCAGAGGGGAGTCCCCTGTGCTCATCTTTGCCAAGCACGGGCTAGTTTTAATGAAATTAGGATGTCTTAATTATAGTTGACTTCTGAACCCTGGTTTGAATTTAGGAGGGAAAACATTTTAGAATCAAATAACCTTCCCGTGACTTTTATTTCCATCTTTGGCTTTCGGATATAAAATGAGCCAGCTCTAATAGCCCAGTTGGATTTCTTCACAAAATGAGGCTGAACGCAGGGGTGGTAGTGGGAGCCTCTGTGCGCTGGTGATTATAATGGACACGGTAGTGACCTTGGGAACTCAAGCAAATCCCCTCTGCAGTGAGCAGCCGCCCCCAGGCTGCCTCTGGCTGGGCTGGCCCCTCCCAGCAGCAGGTGCAGGGGGCGCTGCGGCCAGGTGTCAGGAAGACCCCACTCCCCCCAGAGCAGGGGGTGGAGCAGGGATCCCCAGAGTCGGGCTGGCTGGAGGCCCTGGGGGTGCAGGGAAGCTGGGACGGTAGGAAAGAGGCAGTCCAGCTGTGGGAGCGCTCTCTTCCTGTGCACCGTGAGTGTTAATATGCCTAGCATCACTCCAGCTTGTTATCCACTTAAAACTGAAATACAGCCCTCGGCCGTGAGGGACTGGAAGGAAAAGTAGACTCATGAACTCGAAACTGCAAGGCAATGTGCGAAGGCTAAATTAACATTGATGCCAAGTAGCACAGAGGTGCTAGAAGGAACCCACACAGGACAGTCTGAGCACAGATGACGTGCTCCACGACCCCGGGCCAGTGCTGACCCTGGAGTGGACCCACAGAGCCCGCGACGCAGGGGCTGATCTGCTGTAGCACCTGCTGTCCTCTCTTCCTCTCCACCCTCACGTTGCCCCCAGGCAGCTGCAGGACAGGTCTGTGGCATTGCTCCTGAGAAGTGATAAAGCATAGTCTTCTCCCCACAAAACGCCCAAATAGGCTGCTTCTGTCCTGGAGAGCCATCGGCCTGTTGCTCCTGAGGTTTGCCTTGGCCCTCGTTAGGTGTTGATGGACATGCAGGTGGTTCTCTGCCCTTGTCATGTGCAGAAATATGTGTATTTCTGAGCGTTGGGTCGAGCTCGCTAGTCTGTTCCAGTTGAATCAGCCAGCAGGAGACATGATGGCATTAGGAGCCTTCGAGAAATAGAAGCAAGCATTCATTTCATCTTTATAATGCCTACATTGCCCATCTCTTTGTTTTGGAAACCAACCAGGCCCTGCTCACCAGCACAGCATCAAACTAATCCCCATGGCAGCTTAAGGCTGCCTGAGACACCCACCTTCCTGCTGGCAAGCCAGGTCTATAAGGCTTCTTGAATTTATCCCAATGGCCTTCGTTGAGCAGTTTTAATAATGAGATTTTCAGTGCATTCTTGCCTCATTGAGGCGGGTGATTCTCTTTGATTCTTAGATGCTTCTATGTGAGAATCTTATGTAGATGAGAATCAGCAAAAACAATGTGGAAATATAAAGCACCACCCTGGATTTCTGAGTTTCCCCTGGGAAAAAGAGTCTGGGGGTAAAGCCTGAACCCCTATGTTAGGAGGATTTCAGAAGAAGCCCACATACAGTTCATGAATAGAAAAGATCAATTTGAATTTACTGCTGATGTCATAAAGCAATGCCACCATTTATGACTTTTTTGACTTTATAAAATATGCCAGCAGATTTTATAAGTTATTCATGCTCAAGAGAATTTGATAGCTAAGCCCATAACATTTCTAGTTGCTTAAAAATGAGGCACAGAAAGGTCGCTTTTTTCATCGACTGAGTGATTAATAAGATTTTTTATTGCATTTGTTCAATGCTTCCATCCAGAAATTCATGTACTTACAGAATGATGGAGCCAGTTCCTGCGGGTTTCCAGTAGTTTAAGGAGGGCATGGTTTGGGGCACTCCATGGGGATTATGGATTGGGAAGGGGCCTTCGGCTTTGTGGTTTTGTAGTAGGTCTCTGATGGCTCAAGGAAGGTTTTATTTTTATTTTGTTTTACTATACAAACCACAATAGAGCCTTAAAAAACAAAACAGAACAAAACAAACCTCAGCCCATGAAGGGGCAGGTTTAATTGGATAGCAGATTGTTCATGTGATCCCACCTATTTAGATAAATGTATTAGAAACATTTTATTGAGAATTTCTTCCTCCCGCCTCGTATCCCTCAGGAGTAGGGATGGCTTTCCCAGGGGCCGGGAAAGGAAGACCTTCGGAGAGCCCTGGATCTTGTTCTGGGGACTCTAGGCCCTGCACCTGCGGTGCTCCCTGGGGTCCCTCTGCAGGGAACCCTTGGCCAGCTTCCCCACAGTGGGTGGCCTTGGGGAAGCTGGCTGGCCCTGTGGCTGTCTGTATAGGTGAGCCTCCTGGAGCTCAGATCCGAGTCCGTTAGAAAGAGGAGCTCACGGGCCGCATGCACATGCCCACCGGGCCATACCCATCTGTCTCTGCGCTAACACAGGTGTCCGTCGTGAGGCTGTCGGTAGAAAGCAACGGTATTAGGTGTCTTCCTGCCAACAGGGCAGTGGGGGGGCCTTCTCCCTGCAGCTAGAGGGCCCACCTCACTCCCCGACTTCTGAGGCCCCCCTTCCCGTGAACACGCAGACAGCTTTGCCTCTCTGGAGCTGGAGCTGGCCCTTGGGGCAGGACGCGCGCTGAAGGGCTCAGTCGTCCTCATGTACCAGCAGCCCGTCATGGCCCTGTGGCCATGTGCACCTGCAGTCCGCTCCACGCGGTGACTCTGTGCTCCTCAGGGAGCTGAGCGGCCCCGTGTTCCTATGGCAACTCTTCAGAGCTCTCAGGGCACACGGAGTACCACGGATAACACACAGTTGTGCTGCGCAAGTCATATAGGCAGTAAAAGAAAATTTGCAAAAAAAAAGTCTCAATAGGAAAAAAAGTCACCCCAAATCCTATCCTAAGAGAGAGTTATTTTCATCAGTGAGGTACACTTCTTTCCAGTCTTTCTAAAAATAGATTTTAAGATATCAATCATAAATATCTTTGTCTTGTAGTATATAACCAGGATTGAATGTAATTGCACGTGGCTCAACCAAATATTTTGTTTAACATGGTCGATTTTATGAGGCTCAACCTTCACTTATAAATTTGTGTACTGTTTTCTCTTTTTAAGCATTTTTTTAAAGTGTCAGTATCAACCTTTGGAAAACATTTTAGATGAGGTCATGATATTCAGTTCATTGTCAGTTCAAAAATCCTGGATTTTCATTCATTGCTCGTATTCTTCAAATTTGCTATTTTAAATAACACCCCAATGATCATGTTGACACGTGAACTCTGTGTATGTAGGATTGTTTCTACAGGTTATAAACATTTGGCCTCTCTTACCAAATTGCTTTGAGAAAAGTCATTTTCATGCGGCGTACTCTTCTAGTGGCCACGTTTGAGAATTCCCGAGAGTGTGTTTTGCCAGCACACCCCGCCTGACGAGTGAGAACTGTAAATATTTATTATTTTTGAACTGCATTTTTCGTTTCCTTGGGTTTACATTTTGTCTCGGCCTCGATGGTGTGGTTCCTGTTTCCTGAACGGACCGCCATGGCCTGGGGCGATCCGGGTCTTCAGATGATATTTTATTAGTGATGATATCATGTTCTCATCATGGAGATGCCCTTGGGGAGGACAGTGGACCACCCACTCTCATTGCCGGAATGGGATTCTGTCTATCCCTAATGTGAAAATAACCCTCAAACATAAATTAAATCCACGGAGGATGTTGGGATGACAGTGTACAATTCTATGTATCTATCAAAATAGAAGAAAGAAGCTGAAGTTGGTAAAATCCTATGAGCGTCACCATCGAGGATGAGCAAGGAGCACCCCTCACCTTTCCAGCTGCCCAAGCTGCCTTCAGTCGTCAGGAACTCCAGAATCCATGCCTCCCAGGAAATTGGGTAAAGAAGGGAATGGTATAAGTGCTAATTACAAGGAACATGGTATTTGTTATCAACCTGAGCCCGCGGGAGCCGGCAGGAGAGCAGGGCAGAGGGAGGACGTGGAGCAGGGATGGAGGACGGCGATGCAGATTTCAGAACTGAAACTCGTCCATAGGACCCGGTGCCATGAGGGTTTGTGGGCGATGGCTGTGGGGGCCTGGGCTGCTGGGGAGGAGCAAGTCCTGGAAGGGGAGTTGTGGGTGGAGTGGGGACGTCTGGGCTCAGGCGGGGTCCGGTGGAGCTGGGGATGGAGGATCCTGCACGGTGTCGAGGCCAGTGTGGGAGGGGAGCTGGACAAGCTGGCTGGCAAAGCGGAACAAACTCCCAAACAAGGGGCCCACGTCTCCAGCCTCTGGTCCTGGAGGCAGAGGTGGGTGGGCTCAGGCTGGAGGGGGGTTCCTGAACCTTCTTCAGGGGCCACTGGGTCTCCAGCGTGGCTGACCCAGCACCACGTCCACCTGTACCCAGTGGCTTCGGTGCCCCTCAGAGCCCTGCACCTGCTCCCCACCTCCCTCCATCCTGGTGAGAGAGGTCTGCTGCTTCCCCTAACAGAGGCATTGGTTAACGTCCCTGAGGCCGGGGTGCTGGAGATGGCCGAGTGTGGGGCCCTGCCAGTGACCAGGGACCGAAGGCAGGTCCCTGATGCCCAGCCCGGCCCCCTCCTCTGGCAGCAACAAGCACAGGCTGCCCCCACACGCCGGTGAGCGGT